TGCAGCAAGAGGTTGTTGGTTGGCTGTCCGCTGCCTCGGAAGACACGAGCTTAAACAGTCCAAGCTTTGCCTCTAAATTTGGTTCCCGTTTCAAGCTTCAAGCAGGGGGCCTCGGTAGATTGCTTTCCTTGATTCACCAACAAACCCTGGCACGCGGCGACGTCTACCGTACGGAGTACACGGGGTACGCCTACGGGTACGCCTGGCTAAGATCTGCTCCCCCCCCCCCCCCCCCCCAGTCTCCTTTTCTTCCCGCCGTAAGTCTCCGAACACAAACGCTCACGCGAGTCTCAGGCCGGGCCTGCTTCTCCGTGTCTTTACTTCTGTCCGTCTGTCTGCCAGTCTTGCATTCCAACACATAGAGTCACACTAGGTGACTAGCCACCATGTTGGAGAAACAACTGCATCTCTCGCACGGCCTGGCGTAACTCGGACTCTCTCTCCCCCTTTTCCTTTCGTCACACGGCCGCCTCAGGCCAGGCTCGTTATGGGGAAGGGGGAGCACTGACAACTACACGCAGCTGTCTGTCACATACACACCACCTACTGGAATGCGCAGAGACAGAGGGAGCCAGAGAGAGAGACACACGAAGAACGCGTCTAGGCACACCACTTCCGTTCCCTTTTCGTCGACGCCCTCCAGCCTTCCATTGCTGCATGCCACGTTCTACCGTTTGCTCCCAGCCTTAGTCCAGGCTACAACGACGGGATCTAAACTTGATCTCTCATGCAATGCTTCACTCTTTGTTCGTCACCACGCAGCAACCCATCACCACAAGGTTTTTTGCTCACCATATATCCCTCCCTGATCCATAGAAACAGATAGTCGTACCATGGTGCCGACAGACGAACCTTCCTTCCGAAGAACTCGGGTGCATAGCGCGGACGCACATCGCGGGTGATCGCCCGCAGTAGAGAACGCGAACACTCCAATAGCTCCGTCCCAGACAGCAGTGGCATCAGCAGATCCCATCTTAGGCTCACTCGACTATCCCGAGACCGTCTTCCTCCAACCCCGGACGTGGAGAAGGCCATCGAGACGTGCGTGACATGCACACCGCACCAACTAAACAAGCGTAAATCCACAATCAAGACTAGACACGACACGCCTCCGTAAGTTGTAACCAAGGAAAAGGGCTACACACGGCCAGGGCAGCGGCCGCGTTTCCTGACTCCCAAACGTGGACCAGCGTTTCCGAGCCTGGACTCGGAGACTCTTCAGGCTTGCTTCAGGGCTGAGGCGATACAAATCCTTACTACCAAGACTTTTAGCCAGGGGAAATAAACGGGTCCTCGAAGGCTTAGCAGACGGAGCACAACGGTTGCGCATCGAGAGTCCCTGTGAACATCACGGCAGACTCTATTACTTGGTATACCACAGTAGTAAACCGCAGAAGATCTCCCTCCCCCTTCGCCTTCGGCCTGTGCGACTCCAGATCTGCCCTAGGTACACTAGCATCCCAGTCCGATCACCGAAACCGTAAACTTCTTGGCTCCCGTAAGAAGGCTGCATCATGTTCCTGACTCTTGAACCAATCGGAACTCTGGTTGCCTCTTTTCGTGCGTCCCCTACACCTAAAAACTGACTTGCTGACTACAAGCCACGCGCATGTTCCTGAGTTCCAGAGTCCCTGAATCCCTTGTGTCCTCACACATCGTCACTCAAATCAACCTCAAGGCACAGCACGGCCATTCGTCGCCAAGACCTCCACTGAAACAGATTCGCGAGCAAAGATTCGCCAAGCTTCATGCAACTGAGAACCTGACCTCACATCCCACACATCTTCCCTCGACTTCTCTCCCCCCTCGAGCCTCGAGCCTCGAGCTAGCAACCCGGCAGCACATCGACACAATCCTCGCGCATCCTCCACATCGCGACCCCCCTCGCCGCACATCCAAACTGCACATCACTCAAATCATTCCGTCTTCTAAACATGCCGTACATCACCAAACACACGCGCGCAGCAGCTACCACGGGCAACGAGGCGCAGTAGCCCCAACCCACTCGAGCCTAGCAGCACCCCCAGGATCTGGATGTGGGCGGGTGGATTCTCGGGGCGCTTCTACGTCTCTCTTTCTGGAAGACGACTCCAGCAACGTAGATGCGATTTGCTCTGAGCCGCCTCTTGGCGATCCGTTTGTGATGCTTCAACTTGCGAACCCCAGCCTCTCTCGTATCGCATGTCGACGCTTACCGTTCAGTGACCCGCCTCCGACGTCGCCGTGGTCTTGTCGTCCCAACTTCACCTGGTTGAATCACGGTGAAAGATTTTCACAATTCCAATTCCCTCGAGTTCAGCTGTGAAGTCAATGAAGGGACAGAATCCGAGTTTACACACCCCCAACCAGTCCACGCCCCTCCTCGTGTTCACCTATGCTACTCGAGCCGACGCGATACCGAGCCATGCTTGAGGTTGACTTTGAATGACGGCTTAAAGGTCCTAGCCATTGGGAACACACTGACACTACTGACGAAGGGTTGCAGGGTGCAAGGTCTGATCGGGGATGCAAGGTAGGCCGGCAAGGGCGAGTCTCTACTGTCTCTGCCGCCGCTAATGTACCTCTGCGTATGTGTGAGCGCGCGTGTGTGGGAGGAGGAGGCGAGGTGAGGGTGAGGTTGAGGTTCGGCTGAGAACAGACCCTGGGAACCTCATCGTCTGCTTGCTTGCTACGACTGTGGTCCAGCATGGAACGATCTGATTCCGAGCCTCCCAAGAATCCGTCCCATCGTAGCCCAAGGAATTTGTCAAATTCATCCCCCCTGACCATGATATGGAATGCCAAGCAAGCCCAGTTGAGATCATCTATATAACAGTCCCGTCCACACCATCGAATCTAACCTCCTTTCTTACCCTCATCACACAGCATCAACAAAGCAAGCCTTTCACTTCTTCACCCTTTCCCACTTTCCTTACCTATCTCAGCCCCGGTGGCTCTTCACGAATAGGAACTCTTAATCTCTAAAACCAACTCCGATTCACTCCAGTTTCCTCAAGCTCGAATCTCTCATTCAAAATGCGCTCCCAATCGCTCCTCGTCGCCGCCCTGGCTGCTACCGTCTCTGCCCACGGCACGCTGATGTCCGTCGAGGGCGCCAATGGCGTCACCATGCCCGGTCTCACCGGTAAGCTTTTTACCACTTTTCCTGAGCAACATGGTCTTGCTCTTTTACATTCCTCCAAGTCACTAACTCACTCTCCTTCTCAGTCGCTGACGGAACTCCCCGTGACTGCTCTTCCAACGGCTGCGGCTCCCAGGCCGACACTGCCATCATCCGTGACCGTGAGATCGCCTCCGGTGAGGTCGGCCCTCTTGGCCGCACTCAGGGCAACGGCCCCGTTGACGCCTCCGTGATGGTCAACAACTTCATGGGTGGTGCTGCCGCCCCCAAGAACAACGGCGCCGCCTCCGGCACCGGTGTCGAGGACAACATCCCCAACATGAAGCGCGCCGAGCTCTACGCTCGCCAGGGTCTCGCCGGTCTCTTCGGCGGTGGTGGCAAGAACAAGGGCACCAAGCAGAGCGGTCCCCCCGAGGCCCGCGTCGCCGCCACTGCCGGTATGGGTGCCTCCCAGGGCATGCCCACCTGCGCCGACGACGGCACCATCTCCATGACCTTCCGCCAGATCAACCAGGATGGCGCCGGTCCCATGACCGCCGATGTCGACGGCACCTCCGGCGGCACCAAGGAGGAGGCTTTCCAGAGCGCTCAGGTCTCCACTGACGTCCCGGGCCTCGGCATCCAGGGTCTGTCCCTCGCCACCAACACCGACTTCCCCATCAAGGTCCAGATGCCCGCTGGCATGACCTGCGACGGCAAGGTCGGCATGGCCTCCAACGTCTGCGTCGTCCGTGTCCGCAACGGTGCTGGTGCCGGCCCCTTCGGTGGCTCTGCTGCCTTCACCCAGACCGCCGCCGGCCGCAAGCGTGCCGTCGCCTACCGCCTCAAGAAGCGCATGGAGCTCAACAACCGCGCATAAGCGACTTGTCATTGATCTCTTGATGGGTCTTCTCGGTGTGTCAAACCTGGGAGTTTGGGGGATTTGATCGACGCCCGCAGCAAGTCAGGGACTTTCTGAGGCTCGGTGGATTCCAGACTTGGGTATAGAGCTTTTTGGAAACGACCGTTCTTTATTTCCTACATATTTTCCTTATTAGGTCGTCACTTTTCCATAGGCAAATGATGCCGATCGGAGTTTGAAAAACTTTCTTTGCATTCTCGCGAATACGTGATTGTATGTGACTAATATCAATAAACATCATCACTTGTCAACCTGGCCGTCAGACACTTTTTTACCGATACTTCATCTGACAAGGCAGATGCTTAAAGTCGAACAGACAAAATGACCTGAGAATACTGATCAGTCAACGCTTTGAGGCAAACTCTGCCCTCGTCCGAAGCTTCATAAACTCTTGTTGCACAGGCCACATCCCTTCTGTTCGGTCTTGCAAAGACTTGACGCCGGACTTGTGTCAGGCGGGCAGGAAACTAAACACTCTTAACCAATGGCGGCGAAGGAAACATTGCGATTCTGTCAAGAATATGATTTTGGTCTGGCCATTCGCATGCCTCTCTCGGGCATACATACACTGAAAAGGGGATGGACGGTGTGGTGTCTATGGTAAGAAACGAGATGGTTGTTAATCATTCAATGAGAATTCTACCCACATGATGCCCTTTTCCCAGGCCGAAGATCCAATCCTCGGCCACCAGGTTCATTGCTCCCAACGCCGGATTTTGATGCAATGCCGCCAGACTGTTATGTATTATAGCGGTGCTTCTATGTCTAGGCTGCTGCCGTTTAGAGTGTAACGATGCGAACAATTGCGCAGGAACTGTCTGCGTGATTACGGTTTGGAGTATTGCTACCACGCCGCGGATGTCGTGCTTCTGCTGAATCATAAAAGTACGTTCCCAGAGACGGAGCTAAGGAGAAAATCACCATCGGCGACTTCAAGGCCGGGTTAGCAAGGGAACACAAATGGTTGCTAGATCAAATTTACCTATAAGCCGAATCGACCTTGGTAACGCGCTTGCGCATCTTCATGCCGTCCGGTTTGCCATCCCGATCTCCCTTGGACTTGGGAGCAATGCCGAGCAGTTCGGCCTCTAGTGCTGATAGTTCCGATGCGTCAGTGCCGAAGGACGCCACAGATTGCCTAGAAGCTGGACGTGATTCATCATGGCTGCTATGGGATCCACGACGGCGGGAGTGTCGCGACCGAGATCGAGATCGAGATGCCTGTCGACTATGTGGTCGGCTTTCTGGGCGTGATGTTCCGCGATGAAGCATAGGTGGGGATGCCCCCCTTTCTTGGAAGTTGTTGTTCGAAGTCTGTCTGCGAGCATTTCGAGAGCCGTAATATCCAGAGTCCTGGAGACCCGCATCGTCGAATCGCCTGGATGGACCGGCGTCTTGAGACTCATCCAAAGACATGAGGAGCGTCTGGCCTGGATCGGAATCGGTGCGTTCTGGTCTTTGATGACGATAGCGATCAATCGGCCCCGAGTCCTCCCTGGATCTCCGATTATGCGGTGAAATGGCGTTATAGCCAGGAAGCGATTCGACCTTGTGCCTCTTATGACGCTGATCCGCCCATTCACCACCTTCTTGGCCACCCCTGGCTCTTGGGTTCTTGTACGGTGAATCGTCCAAAGCCCGCTTGCGGTTATTGATAAGACGATAATCGCGGTTTTCTGGAGTAGGGGGTTTCGGTGGGAGAGATGGAAACCCCGGAAGGCGACTGGACTTGAACGTGCTGAGTTTCTCTCGCGGCTCAAGGGGTTGCTTGGGAGCACTCCCCACAGGACACTTCCAGAATGCTGGGTCGTATTGCATCGTAACGAAGAACTCGGTTTCTCGAATCGGCCGCGAGAATTCTACGAAATTGCTTTCTTTTGCATATCGAGACTGAATCCACGTGGCGTTCCATGCCGGAGGTAACACGATGTTATCATGGTAATCCTCAGGTCCAGGTAGTGGCATGGCAATCGGGTCCGGTTGGTAAGTTTTCCCTAGTTCTTTGAAAATCATCTCTTCTTCCCAGTTCCAATCATACTCTTCTTCAGCTTCCTGCTCTGAAGCAACGTTGATTATTCTGCTCTCAGGTGTACCACTCGCGACTGATGGTGCCTCGACGGGCTTTGGTTCGGCTTCGAGCTGTAGTTGCGGTGGCCCAGGTCTAGCTTTATTGTCAGATTTGGGCCTGGGCTGTGAAGGATCCCGTTTCGACTGATTGCCGTGTTTGTTCCGGCGAGAACGATCTCGGTTGTTTTGCCCCTGGCGCTGTCGTCCATTCCGGTCTCGCGGCGGTTGGTGCCTTGGAGGGGGTACTGGTGGGAGTCCGGGTGGTGTAGCACGAGGGGGGGGAGGCAAAGGAGGAGGGTGACCATACCCCGGAGCGGGTGCTCCCCATGAAGGAGGGTAAGAGGTCGGTGCTGGAGGCGGTTGAGACCCGTAGGGCGGCTGAGGATAGCCTCCCGGCGGTGCTGGATTATATGAGGGCGGATACTGACCGCCTGGAGGTGGAGGACCAGCGTGATATCCAGGTGCAGAAGGGTAGGATGGAGGAGGGTAAGGAGTACTGCCAGCGTATTGTGGTGGTTGATAGGGAGGTGGCAGACCAGAAGGACCGGGAGGTGGAGGCCCTCCATACTGGCCGGCTGGTGGATAATGATACGGTGTAGGAGGAGCGGGAGGTGGTGGGTGGGCACCCGGGGGAGGCGGCGGCGGCGGGGGGAGGTACTGGGAATAGCTGGGGTAGTTCCCTGTTGGCGGGGGAGGATAGCCATTCGGAGGTGGAGGATATGACGGATAGGACGGCAGGGGGCCGGGGTACGGAGGAGCATGGGGCTGACCCGGGGGCGGAGCGTAGCGAGTGACGATCGGATTGCCGCTTGGTGGGGCCGGATACTTGGTCACGACAGCACCCGGACGCCGGCCGCCGTGCTGATGTTCACCACCCCGGCCATGGTGATCATGGCCACTCGAAGTATTTTTCCGGGACAGTCCACTTTTGTCGGGTCAGTTCATGATCAAGCTTGAAGCAGGGGGCAGTTGTGGTCACGTCCAACTAGACTCTGCATCATGCAACTTACGCGGGCTTCGCTCTGACAGGCTCTGGGCAAGCTACGGCCCAATGTCCAATGCCGCCACAGTTAATGCAGCTGGGCTCTTTCATAGACGGCCCCATTCCTGGCGCGTGGTCGGCCATGGTTGATGGTGGGGTCTCTCGAATCTTGAGTTGGCGTACAGCTTTGACCCAGGCCCGGAAGGGTAAGAAAATGGAAGTGTTTGAAGGAGTACCGCGACCAAGCTAACGAGAAACCGAATGCCGTCTATGAGCCGGGAGTAGCCCGGCAAGAGAGAGAACTAGGGCAGGACGGAGGTACCCCTATGCTGGTGAGAAAGAGGGTTCGGAATAAGTTCCCAACACGAGCTGAATAAGAAAAGACTTGATATATCAGAAGGTGCTCGCCAAAGACGGGAAAGGAGAGTCAGAGGCGCCAACCTTGATATTCACGCTGCGCTTACAGCAGGTGAATGAGATGTTTGAGAATAGTCGACCCCAGAATAGCTAGGGGCGTATACAACCTCCCGAGTTAACTGAAAAACGGGATGATAGTCTGTTGATCAAGGTGACGGAAATTGCGAAGCCTTCAAAGGTCTCTATTGAATGCGCCTAGGCAGCCCGAGGTGGCGCATCACCTGTTGACAGCCGGACTAAGAGAGGAGAGATGAGGTTGGTTGGCGATGAAGGCCGTAGTCCAGCCTCTAGAATGAGGGATCTTGATGGCGAGGCCTACACCAGGCGACTATCGTGGGCTTTGTCTCATTCCAGAGGGGGTTAGCTGGGATGAGGTTGTGGGAAAGCGCGACGAAGTTGACCAAAAGACGAAGGTTGCGCGCCCAGGCTCAGGCGTAAAGTGGGGCAATGCGCCTGCCCAGTGAGGCACAGCTGAACACCCACGGCAACTCTTTCCGCGGAAGGCTGAAAGGCACCGGAAATTCATCGGGCCGGGTGTCATGCTTTCTTTTTCCCCAGGCAGCCAGGACAGCAGGAGACATGGGCCAGCCAGACTCGAGTACATTGATGATCGGGAAGAGGCAGCATTCAGCTGGCAGACAATGCAACTTGATGTCCTGTATATCGAACGTGTCTTGTGCCTTGCGGGGGTAGATCTTGACATGCAGACTGCAGTATCAAAGGCCACAGCCGGCATGTCATGCATGAGTAGTGAAGCACGCACTGTCTTTGTGCATCAACATCATCTGAGACCTAGGATCTAGAGGGACAATATTTGAGTACATGACAGGTTTCATTGGGCATCTGAAGCTGTCATGAGCCAGATCTTGGGAAGCTTGCATCTGCTGTCATTGGGCTAGATTGGCAGACTATGATGCTGTGCGCAAGGGCAGTTTGGAGCTGCCCGAGGCTTGGAAAGGTAGAGACACGGATATATCAACTGGGAGCATCTAGATGCTGGTCCATCGCGCAGGCGCAGGCGCAGGGCATCTGAGTTCAACCAGGAGCAAGATGAGACGGTCGAAACAGGAAAGAAAAAAAATGCTAGATAGCCTAGATTCGAACTGAGACCAAGACAGATAGATAGACGATGGTGGCATTTGAGAAGACCAGAGATGTCGGTGCCTGGGAAATTGAGAAGAAACCAAGGTGAAGGAAAGATGTGGCCGCTGTTCTTTAACGATCCAGATATCAGGTGCTGTTTGAACAACGATGTCGACAGCCCAGCCAGTCTCTCTCTGTGTGAATGATGAACGCGTTTGAAAATAACCAAGGAAATATCGAGCTACAGTCCACTGCCGGGGCTCTCAATAGCGACCAGGATTCTGTCTGTCTCTCTGAACTCGCAAATCGAAAGCTGCCGCTGCGGAGAAAATAAGAATGAACGGGAAAGCTCGGCGAACCGGTGGAAACGGGACGAATACCAGATAGACAGTGGAGGCTATCCGTAAGGACGCAACTGTAAGGTGAGGAAAAGAAAAGGGCGTACCCGCCATAACACACCAGACGGAGGGGGGAAGGTGACTTTATATGAGCCCAGCCGTTCCAGGTGCCAGGATGGATGGCCGCGCCCCCTGCTGACCAGGCAAGTCCGGGCTTCCTTGGCCAGTGGTTGGCAGTTGCCCTCCCGTCTATCACCTCGCGCCGTGCAGTTCCAGCGCTTCTGCAGCCTCCTGCTAGGTGTTTGTAGCGAACGACAGCCCCTAAAACGTTGGTGTGTACGTAAGCGCCTTGAACCTGCCGTGTCTGCCAACTGCCAAGTCTGAAAGTGGGACCCCTAAACATGACCAAATCCAATCACATTTCGTCGTTCAGGGCACTCGGTGTGAGGTGTCTGATGTTTGGATGGGATTTCTCAGCCGGGTCCGAGCTTCCCCCCAGCTGCTTCCAATTCGAGAAGGGCGTCGGGTCGTCTTTCCGTTGCAGCACATTGCAGCATGACGTCCCTCTCTGCCCGCCGCCAGAGCTGCCACCCATCCCAAAAAGATTATTCAACTGCACCTGCGACTGAAGAATAAGGTAGGTACTTTACCTCACCACGCTCTCTCTTTCCGAGGGCATCGCCACGGCCTACACCCACAAATCTTTTCCCTTCGTTCTCTTCCTCTCTTGTGCCCTGGGCGACTGGGTGTCTTGAGCTACTAGAGGACTCAAAGCCTACCGAACATAGGCGTGCACTGTTACCCCCCATCTGTCGTCGATTCGGCCTGCGCTCCAACTCGTCTGCTTCGTCCATTCTGCCGCAGCGCGCTTCCTGCTCCCATGTAAAGACACGTCGTCCTCGATCATGTTACTACGACCACGAAGCTCCCCAATACATATAGCCCGCCTCTTGAGTAGAAGTGGTCTCCGACGACCTGCTTCGTGAACCGCCGACCTTTGCGACAACCCGCCGCTGTAGTCTTTCTACACCCTACCAACCCCAAAATCAGCTAGACACCACCGGCCTCACAGCTGCTGTTGCATACCAGCACCTCAAAGATGCCTGGGCTCCCAGGTAAGATTTGCCCTTCTCCCCAGGGCCATGCAGCTTTTCTAACCAAGCCGCGCTACCACAGCTTCCGTCGATCTTGACGAGTGCATCTCGCGCTTGTACAAGAGGGAACTTCTCGCAGAATCCGTTATCGAGGCTATTTGCGCCAAAACCAAGGAACTGCTGATGCGCGAGAGCAACGTCGTCCACGTTCGCGCCCCCGTCACCGTCGTCGGCGATATCCATGGCCAGTTTTACGACCTGATCGAGATCTTCAAAATTGGTGGCTGGTGTCCAGACACCAATTACCTGTTTCTGGGTACGTCTTGGATCCAAGTCAGGAATGCAAAGGCTTACTGACCGGCCGCTCAACAGGAGACTACGTCGACCGTGGCATGTTCAGTGTCGAGACGATATCTTTGCTTGTGTGCTTGAAACTACGATACCCCAATCGCGTGCATTTGATTCGAGGCAACCATGAGTCTCGCGGCGTCACCCAGTCCTATGGTTTCTATACCGAGTGTTCAAGAAAATACGGAAATGCCAATGTGTGGCATTACTTCACCGACATGTTTGACTTTTTGACCTTGAGCGTGGTCATCAACGACAAGATCTTTTGCGTCCACGGTGGTAAGACGACCCCTCTCTCCACGCGCGCTTCTGAGTCAATGCTAGCTTGATCATTTCGCTAACTTGAATGCTCCAGGCCTTTCTCCATCCATTCATTCAATCGACCAAATCGTCATCATTGATCGTTTCCGCGAAATCCCCCACGAAGGCCCCATGGCCGACCTAGTCTGGTCTGACCCCGATCCTGAGCGTGACGAGTTCTCTCTCAGTCCACGTGGGGCGGGCTATACCTTTGGCGCACAGGTGGTTAAGAAATTCTTGGCTGTAAACAACATGGACCACATCTTGAGAGCCCACCAGCTGTGCCAGGAGGGCTTCCAAGTATTATACGACGATCGATTGAGTACTGTATGGAGTGCGCCCAACTACTGCTACCGATGTGGAAACATGGCTAGTGTCTTGGAAGTCAGCGATACTGGCGAGAGGTTTTTCAACGTCTTTGCCGCAGCACCAGAGAATGACCAGCATAAAGACATGCAGCTGGGTGGTGGAGAGAAACAGGCAGATGGCAACTCCCTTCCCGATTACTTCCTGTAGCGTGGCTTGGGAGGAGGATCGAGTCTGGCTATGATGACATGCCCACTAGCAGAATAGACGGGGCGAGGATTGCCGCACAGGATCACAAAACGACGTGTGCTCTGAGGCTAGATTCAGGTGCACCAAGATGTCCCTTGCAAAGAGGTCATTCATTACATTACCTTAGGTAATGACCAGGTGGAAAATACCACCATGATTAGAATACGTCGAAAACATGTCACGTCTCACGCCTCACGCCTCGGGACGACCCATAGACGAACATTTGATGAGGATCCAAAGGGATCTGTATTTAGCTTGGGGACAAGATATGATGACCCAGCAGAACTAAATAAAAAAAAAGAAGTATCTGCGATCTAAACCGTCCAATTTTTGTTTTGTAATCGTGACTTCATGTGCCAAAAACCAGTGTATGAGGTTGAGAGCAAAGTTTGTGTGTGTGTGTGTTATATAGCAAGAGAAGAAAAGGACTTTTATCAGCCTGATCCATCACCCATGTTTCCTGCGTGAGGGCCGTTACTGTTTGACCTTTTCGAATTCCTTTTTTTTTTTTTTTTTTTTTTTTTTTTTGTGAGTGAACGAGTGAGATGTTGTCCTTGTCCTGCCTGCCTCGATTTCCACCACGAATGTCCTCCCAACCGTGGTCGGGCATGAAACTATCCATAATAACAGTAGAGCTCATCTGCCGATGAGCGGGGTCTCCTTTGTGGAAAGAGACAAAATCAGGAAGACGACGTTGTAGGCGAGGGCGACAAGACAGCTTTTCGGATTGATGAGAATGATGTCAGGGCGAGAGAGTAGGGCGGCCATCAGGGGCCTTGTCCACTCTACCAGTCCTTGGCAATGTCGAAAGACCACTCAAAGGTCAAGTGAGTCTTCTTGTCGTCGTCGACAAAGCTGGAGATGGCGTTGTAGTGACCTCTGGCCAGCATGCCGGAGGGGGCGTCCTCCTCTTGGACTAAAGGAAGGGTCAGCATTACCAAACGGGATCCTGAATGAAGAGCGAAACTTACAGCGCTTGGTGTAAGTGGTCTGCTTGTCGGTGTTGGGAGCGTAGCTGCCCTGTAGATGACAGTCAGCATCAGAATTTCAAGATAACAGTGAGGAGAAGGAAGACTTACCAGCATCTCAGAGTCCTTGCTGACCTTGATTCCCTTGCGCTTGACGACCTGAACGTACTGCAGACCGCTGAGAATCTCGTGCTGGACCTTGAACTTGGCAACCATGGTGAACTTGCAACCCTCCTTGATCTTGAAGGGCTTGTCCTTGAGGGTCGCCTCAGAGCCGGGGGCAGCCAGGTCGATGGTGACGGGGTCGCGACCGGGAGACTCCATGGTCAGGGAGAGAATGATGCAGACGCGGGGGTCGGAAGCGTCAGAGAGGTCCTTGCCGCCGCCGAGGCCGAGGGACTCCTTGTAGCGCTGGAGAGACTCATCGTTCTCGTCTGTGGCGCTGTTAGTCGGCTGCTCATCTCTCATCTCGTATTGTTCCAGGTCCAAGGGCTCGAGAACTGCTAGGCCATGTGCTGCCCTGACAACAAGGGGAGACATATAAAAGTCCCGAATGAGGTTTGGGTCTTGAGAGAGCATGTTCTCTTGGAGGCGGGGTGAGTTGGGGGGATTAGGAGGAACAGGGCGTGAGAGAGCTCTTTCTCGGTGGCAGTGTCTCTCCTCCATCATCTTAAATGACTGAGGACGCGATCCCGAGGGGGTTGAAAGGGGAGCAGGAGGGAGCTCAATGGAGTTGCGGTTGCTGAGGGCGTTATTGCGGTTATGCTTCTGCATCATGCGACGCATACCCTCATATAACGCCTCCATGGTAATGAGAGGATATTACATGCAAAGGTGCTTGTGGTATCGATATCGCAGTGATGACAAGGAGAATCTCAAAATTGAGGTTGGTGATGGTGAGAATTAAGAAAAAAGTGGTTGAAAGGCAGTGAAGGTGAAGGTGAAGGTGAATTGTGAGGATGAGTTTGTGGGTGTGAGTGTGTGCGGAAGGTGCAAGCAGCTGAGTGCCTTCTTCTCCTGCTGTTTCTTGGTGAGGTGTGCCATGAGATGGATGTTGAGCATGCCATCTGCCATCTCCTGTCACCGAGGTGAGTGCAGAGATGGGAGAGGCTCCCCTCTTGCACACACCGATCCCCAAAGCAAGGTGGAGGAAGGTGTGAGGGGCATCTCTGAGGGACCCAGCTGGAGCTGTCCGGCCCCCAAACAGCAGCACCCAGAAACATGGAGAATAAGAGGCCAGACAGATGGAAGAAACCAGACGGGACCAAGGAGCAATACATAGTCAAAGAACTTACCCATTTTCTGGTACTCGGCCAGACTCTGCTTGGGCTGGGAGAGCTTGTAGCCCTGAGTCTCCTCAGGCATGGTGTCCTCTTGCTCGTGGGAAGCCATGGTGATGATGTTGATGGTGGGGTAAAGGTGGGAGCTGGAGCTGGAGCTTGAGCTGTAGAAGCTGTGCTGGGGCGTGGATATCGGAGGCTATGGGATGAGAATAGCACACCTGAGTGATGAGGTCGTAGATGGGAAGGCTGTGACGATGTTTACTCTGGAGGAGAGAAGTTGAGAATCAGGTAAGGTGGTAAGGTAGGTCAGGGCGATGGAGTTGAGGTAAGGCCATGGCTGGTCCCCCCGTCCAGTAAAGACGAGGCAAGCCGCAAAGCAGCAGCGCACCGGCAAAGGTCACCGCTTCCCGTTGCCCCTCATTGTGCTCAGGTCTGGCTGGGTCTGGGTCTGCCTTCTTCCCACCCAAAAATCGACCAGACAGGGGAGGAGCGTCACCGCGTCAGGGCCAGTCGGCGCTGTAAAGTGGGCTCTGATGGATTCAGGACCGGCCTTGACTGGACGAAAAGAGAAACTTGATTGGTTGATGGATTTGTGGGTCTGGACCTGCATTGATTGGCCAACATCTGGAACAAGATGGAACTTCACACACGAAACCAGGCACAATCGACAAAGCCCTCTCATGTGCATCTCTCCTCTCTGGAGACCTCAGACCCGAGCAACATGACTGTGGTAAGGTTGCTTTGCTGCAGCTTTGATAGAGGGACGAAGACCAAGAGATCCAACCACTCTGAGTGGAAGCTTGCTGCTGCCCCTCGATGATGACCATGCCGTGCTACCTTGCCGTACCACATTACCTAAGTACCCTAGCAAGGCCAAGTCGCTGTGTAGGTACCTAGATACGGATAGATTGCTAAGGTAAGGTCTGCAGCTCTCTGCCCCTCCAAGTGCCTTCTGCAGCCAATCTCGATACGGGATGGGGATAAGAGGGGAGCATCCGTCTATATCGACCACGATTCTGCGCATCGGCTGGATGAGCGGTCTGGAATGGTTCCTGATGAGGGGCACAATCGACAAACTTTAGAAGTTTAGCGCCTTTCCTTCCACTGCTGGAAGAGCATCGTGGAGTAAGCCGACGGTTGACAGGTGGCAGATGCTTCATGCGGGCCATCCGTGAAATAGGTATGGATAGCCAGTTTTGAAGAGCTTGCTAGCAGCTGCATCGCTGCTATCCGTACGGTAGAGGCTAGAGCTTCCCCGTGGTGGATCTTTGCGAACTCGTTTGCATTACTGCGACCTGGAGGTTTATGCACAGGAGGGCATACTTATGCAGCATCTCCAAGTTGGCTTATGTAATCCTCACTGAGGCAACTGTGGTGGTCTGAGGGCCGATCGATCTCACCAGCGTCCAGGCCATTTTAAAGATCAAGAAGAATCACCCGTTTCCAAGTTCTACCTACGTTCTGGATGATTTTTCCGCCCATTACCTATCCAAAACTTCAGTGAAGGCGTCGTGTGTCAGCTAGCCTGGTGCTGTTGCTCTGGCAGTAGTGCCATATTGTACTTGGTGCCTGGAACCGTCTCTCTTGCTCTTCGGCCCAGGCGAGATGAGGAACTCTAGAGACTGACCATCGACCTCATTTGTCTTATGTACAGATATGTCGCGGCAAGAAGGAGGGGACAAAAGTAAGTAGTGTCGACCCAATACTCAAGCAAGCACTCTTGCCTTATCGATTAGACTGCAGCTGCTGCAATGCACGGGACGGGGGCAACGTGGCCGAATGATGGGCTGAAGGCGGAATAGCTGCAGTTCGCCCGTTGCCAGGCGCAATCGCAATCGGGGCCCCCGCGCTGTCGGCTCTGTTGCTGCCGTTGCTTTCAATTTCGGTGCAACGAAGGATGTCGGCAAGCTTCGAAAGGGGGCATATCCATGCCACATGCGCGGCATGCTGGAGAAGAGTGGAAAGGGAAGAGAGAGACACTGGACCCTCTTGAGCTTGCAGAAGCCACCGGCGGCCCTTTGCGGGCTGTGGCCTGTAGTTCGTTCGTTTGTCCCCGCTTGACTGGAGACTGCGAACGGCGCCCAGGGTGTTCAAAGCTTTGCACGTTCGCGACTAGAACTGTTGGGGGCCAGGGGGGGAGACTCTCATTCAAGAGCTTGTCTGATGCTTTGAGGAAACGTGTGCTGAGCTGTGAGGATCAAAAGCCTCAACTTTCTCTCAGGTTGGCTTAGTTGCTTAGGTAGGCACATAGGTACCTTGGACGCGACATGGGTCACGCAACGGGTTAAGGCAAAGATGGAAGGAAGGGACCGTCGTATCGATAATCTTCCTTCCCTCCTTCCTCAGGAGCCAGGGACTTTTCCTTCCCATTGCATTTCCGGGGAAAACGCCAGGAGTGGTGGTCGTCAAATGCGGCAAGTGGTAGTTACGATAGATAGCTACATCATTTACAAAGATCTATCAATGTTAAAACCAAGTATTCGTCTATGTCGCATATCTCGCCTCAATGGTGCCTTTTACGTGAGGTAGGCTCAGGCTTCTCCCGCGTCAGGGTCACGCCGTCACGCTTCGCTTTCCGAATCCGCAGTTCCACCCCTCCCTCCAATCTTACCCAATGAGCAAAGGAGACCCCCAAAGTTTGAAGCTCTCTCTCGCTGCGCTGCGCTGCTGCTGGTTGCTGGTGTTCCCCGGTGCTTGGAGAGTCTGGGACGAGACACGCTGTTGGAAACTGTACCTAGGTGGTGAGGTGCTCTAATTTGCGCGCGCAAAACTCGCCCAGCTTTAGGTCTCTCTGGCTTCCGCTTCCCTTTCCCTTCCCGCCCCGGCAGCCTCTCTTGCTCTCCCGTCCTCTCCTTCCCTCTCCTCCTCACAAGTCACCACCTCTCTCTCATCCCGACTCGTCCCTCCCTCCTCTCTTTCACACCACCGCTACCTCACTCAGTCTCTCACACACACATTCCCTCCGTCTTCTTTCTTCCCCTCGATCCATCCTTTTGAGACAGCTTTTGCTCTTTGTGCCTTGCCCTTATCGGGATCGCTGTCTCCATTGCCTACAATCAATTATAATCTTTTCTTCATCAACCGCATCGCCAACCCACCCCTGCACCCTTTTTTTTTTCTTTTTTTTTACGCGACAGACCCGTCACGTCACGTCGGCGCTCCGAGGATCCAACTCCATCTACAGCTCCCGTCAGCTCCAACAAGTCTCCAGTAAGCGACACCTACCACACACACACACACACACACACACACTCTCTCTCTCTCTCTCTCTCTCTCTCTCTCTCTCTCTCACCACCACCATTCTTTTCTTGCGCGCCGCCCATGCGCTCTTACCCGTGCTCAGACTGACGCGACGATTTAGTCCTTCCTCCGATCGAGCCCACAGTCGACGCGACCTGGAAGACACCTTCCCCGACTGCCGCCAGCGCGCATCGCAAACTTCGTCACTTCACGTACCCAATTTAATCGCCAATTTTGCGCACTCCGTCCCACACTTCCGAAATGCCTTCCGCTACCACTCAAGAGCGGCACTTGCCCGCAAAGCGCAACTCCCTCATGACTGAGGATGTGCCTCGCTGTATGAACAATTGGATTGCGCATAGCGCTTCATGTTTGCTGACCAGACTCTAGACGATGACCTCGTAGCCCGTCGTCGACTCGGCCAAACTCAGCTGACGGCCAAGATGGCCAACCTTGCCGACGGGGAAGGCGCCGCCCTCGGCGTCTTCGACTATGCCCACCTTCGCGCTCCCTTGCCCAAGGGCATCGTCTCTGGCATCTTCAAGTCCAGCCCCAACAGCTACTTCCTGATGCGACGCAGCCACGATGGCTTTGTTTCTGCGACAGGAATGTTCAAGGCCACCTTCCCCTACGCCGAGGCCGCCGAGGAAGAGGCTGAACGCAAGTACATCAAGTCTCTTGCTTCCACCAGCCCCGAGGAGACTGCCGGCAACGTCTGGATTCCCCCAGACCACGCCCTGACCCTCGCCGAGGAGTACGGCGTTGCGCCTTGGATCCGCGCCCTGCTGGATCCTGCTACTATTGCCGTTTCCAACACCCCCGACAGCCCTCCCAAGAAGATCACGGCTCCTCCCAAGTACGAGCTCCTTAAGGCTCACCCTCAGCTCGCCCCTCCTACTCCGATTTCACTCCCTCGCAGCACTCGATCTCGCCGCTCAGCAAGCCCTACCAAGGCCGCCGCTGCCACGACGCTCCCCAGACCTGTCAGATCGCCCAGAAAGCGCAGGGCCAAGGCCGACTCTGTTGAGCCTCGGGAATCCACGCCCACAATTGCTACCAAGCTCGAGGTCAATGGTGTGATCGAAGAAGACAAGGACGCCGAAGCGGAGATCAAGACGATTCTCAAGACCGTCGAGGCGGAACCCGTGTTGGTCTTTGAGGCCAGAGAGGAGGAACCCAAGGCCAAGGTCAACGTCGACCAAGATATCAAAACCGACGAAGATGGCAACGAGACCAAGCACACTGCTGTGTCACTAGAGCTCCCTCTGCTGAGCGCAGAGCCACCATCTGCCGAGGAGACTGCGCGTATGATTGCGGAGGCGAAGCAAATGGTCGAGGCGGCTGCTATTAAATCAGAAGGTGTCGACAGCCCCAAGGCTAAGAGCAAGCGTGGCGCCGAGGAAATTTCAAAAGGAGATGATGAGGACGAGGAGAAGGAGGTCGCAGAGGAGCCGCGGTCAAAGAAGGCCAAGACCGCCGAGGTGCAGGTCAAGAAGCTCCGCGTACGGAACCGGGCTTTGTTTGGTCTGAGTGCCGTGTCACTTGCCGTCGGGTATGTATCTCTGATTTGCTCTCTGTCATACGGGACTATATTTGGCTAACCAAAGTTGCAGCGCATTCTCGTACTTTGTTGGTTCCTTCTGAGACGTCATTTGACGTGTCGGGGGGCATTTCGGGAGCTCTAGGTTGCAGTGGAGGTGGTTGGTGCGAGAACTCGGCGGCAGCCTTTTCTATATCGTTTTATTGCCTTACTCATCATACCCAGATAGAGCTCGAGGGCACTCGGGCCAGCTTTCTTTTCACTCGTTGCTTGTGGAATATTGGGTGGGATCAAATAAGTGTACATTGAGATCGTCTCTACGGCGATAGGGGGCTTCGCGGGAGGGCAAAGCCGTGGGTGGTTTAGGATTGAGGCAATTGTAGTCGATGTATTGTTTAGGTTTTTCTCTGCTTGCGGCGTCGAATGGGATACGGTGCATGCGTTGCAAGATATGCTTCTCCCAGGCGTTATCTATCTTGGCAATTTATCTCGCTCGTAAACAGTCAAAAGATGTTATGTTGTAGTGCCTGCTGGATACGTGCCACATGGTCCTACTATGATGTACGTTCTGTACTCATCAATCCAGCTACTCGAATGCTCCATTCGCTTCAGTAAAGAATCGGTCCGTCCGTGGCCGAGCCACTCCATAACTTCCTTCCATCTAGTATCCGTATAATCCGCATACGAAGTACATGAGTGAGAGGCCTGGGGAATAAAAGTCATTTTGAAAGTTGGCCGTACGAGGTCCTTGTCTTCAGCCTATCCCAGCCGCTGCTGGTAGGTTCAATGGCTCAACCGTCTTCTACTCGGTCAGACGTCCCATTGTTTCATGGAAGGCCCTTGGCGAAGAGTCAGTTGCTCGCCGAAATCTCCACCACTTATCCCTTCAGTCTCCATCGTCGTCTCAACTGTCTCCATCGGCAATGGAGATGATGTTTGTCAAACTGATGTCACTCGCTCCACATACCACGGCATATAAGAGGTCAGAAATTTCTCACGATGTTCACGCAGAATATTTTCTTTCCTACTCACCTTTATATCGTGAGAAGAAGGCAGAGCGCAGAGCTCGGATTTGACTTGTTTCCAGCGAGGTTGTCATATCCCTACGTTCAGGACTTCTTGCAACCATGCAGTATTCTTAGCATCATCTGCAAGGGGTGCGGAACCACTCTTTTTTCTCCAATCCATCCGGGGCTGTTCCCGCAGACGCGCCATGCATGGGTTGGGAGACAAAGGTCTCGGGTGACGGGGGGCCAAGGTCGCCCGCGTGCATCATTCGAGGTACGAGCGGGCATGGCTAACACCGGCAATGGCCGGCTCCCCGGATAACCGTTGGCTTGCTCCCCCGCAGCGCGCAGGCGGGTGAAGTGGAAGGAAAAGCTGGGGGTTACGACCGGCTGGAATGCCGTCTCTCCTCTAACTTTGAGAGCATTGAACACTTGCATACTTTGCTCTGAGTTTAGTTGTGCCTTCTACTTTACTCTACGAAAGCCCTGCTTGTCTTATCATTTGAAATTGGAATACATTTCACAAGATGCGGGCGGCTTCGACATTGCGAGCTCTGCCGAGATTCGTCCAACAACAGCGCGGCTTTGCGACAACGCAGCGGCGGTTGGAGAGCTATGGCTTCATCGGCTTAGGACAAATGGTATGGCCCTACAAATACACAATGGCATTGAGACCCTGAACAAGCTAACTGTTACTTTTCAGGGTTACCAAATGGCCAAGAACCTGCAGTCCAAGCTGACTCCCAAAGATGAGATTCGCATCTTTGACATCAACAAGGATGCAGTCTCCAACCTGGCAAAGGAGATGGACCAATCTCAGACCGGCGGCGCAAAGGTTGCTGTTGTTGACACTGCACGAGATGCGTCAATTGAAGCTGTAAGTTGCCAAATTTAAATTTTTTTTTTTTCGATTTCCATCTTCAAGATGAATCATCTTTAAGTCGTATGATGCATTCTTAAAACTGTTTTGCCAACTATGAGGCGGCCTACATCCGTCCACTGAGTAAAACCACTTCCTAAGTTTTCTGACCTCGAGAGAACCTCACTTCATTTCTTCAACTTCAACTTGAGTACCAAGACATGAAAACTAAAAACCCACCAGGACACCGTCATCACCGTTCTCCCCGAACCATCCCACGTCAAGGCAGTCTACACCTCCATCCTCAAAGACCTGCCCTCCCGCAAGCGCACCTTCATCGACTGCTCCACCATCGACCCCTCCTCATCCCGCGAGGTAGCCGCCTCTGTCTCAGCCTCGACCAGCAGCCACGGCACCTTTGTCGATGCCCCAATGTCCGGCGGCGTCGTCGGCGCCACGGCCGGCACGCTTACCTTCATGCTCGGCTGCGACGCTACGCACCTGTCCGTCGTTGAGCCGACGCTCCTCCGCATGGGCCGGCGGGTCCTACACTGCGGACCGCAGGGCACGGGACTCTCTGCGAAGTTGGCGAATAATTACCTTCTGGCCATCAACAATATTGCCACGGCCGAGGCGATGAACCTGGGTATGAAGTGGGGTCTTGATCCCAAGGTTCTCGCGGGCGTCATCAACGTTAGTACGGGCAAGTGCTGGCCGAGCGAGGTGAATAACCCCGTCAAGGGCGTCGTTGAGGGCAGCCCCGCGGGGAGAGATTACAAGGGCGGCTTCGGGATCGGGTTGATGCGCAAGGATCTCGGTTTGGCTGTCGTTGCTGCGCGGGAGGCGGGTGCCACGTTGGAGTTGGCGGGCAAGGCGACGGAGGTGTATGCTTCTGCTGAGGCTGAGGAGACGTGTAAGGGGCGGGACTTTTCTGTTGTCTATCGGTACCTGGGAGGCAAGGAGTGAAGGAAAGGCATCCGTCAAGCTGGGATGTTAGATGTGTTTAGATCCTTTCAAAGATGCACTTACCGAAACAACGAAATCATTCATCGGTAGATATCAGACCATCCCGCAGTTGAAGGGCCTGGAAGAAGTCGTTTGTTCTTCCTGGTACCCGCCAGTGCCTTTGTCTCTGCCCTCCACCACTTCTCCCTCACTTCCGCCTCTTTCTCACCGAGATGGTCCACGCATAGCTCGCAACAAATCACTTTCGGCTTTGGACGGCGGTGCTGTGGCTCGATGAGGGTGTATCCCAAAGCTGTCTTCAAGACTTCAAATTCGAGGCCTGAAGGATTGAGCGCTGGGTCGGAAGCGGACGGCTCAGGGACCGTGTCGTAGAGGATGCCGCAGTGTTGGTGTTGGGGGTTTTCGTTGTTCAAGGTGACGGCGGAACACTGTTCGAGGACTCGGCGGCGTGGTTTTCCGAGGCGCGTGTTGCAGATGCCGCACATGTATTGGATTACGTCTGCAATGCACATTGTGAGTGATGCTGTGGTTGGGGTTACTTACAAGGTGTTTGTATGTTTCACATAATACCTCTGGCGGGTAGATGATTCTAGATGACGAGAATGTTGACAGTTTTGTGTCGAGGAGCTAGAGGGATATATCAAGCTCAGGTTGTCGAAGCCAAGTCACCATCCAGGTGAGGCTTGCAGATATTGTACATGGGACTTGAAGATGTTGAACAAATTTTCTTCAATAAACAACGAGTTCTTAATCCAGTCCGCCGAAAGGGCAACTTTGTTTGAAGTGCTTTGTCGTCATCAAAGTATTCGACAAAGCTCACAGAAATAATGAGTTGGAATCTAGCGTTGAGACTGGTTCTCGTCCATTCATTCCTTTCACAGAGCGCAAGTATACAGTCTAATGAGCCTTAAAAAAAGATTTGACGCCTTTGGGCCGGTTCCCAGCTGACCCAGCCGTTTGTCGAGAACAATGTGTTCATAATTCCTTCTTTATCCGTCTAATGCCATCCATCTTCTTTCTTCTAACATCCATCTTTCGACTCCTCATGCGGACTCGCGCCCGGACTCGATCTTGGTATTCTCCGGTGTTGATGTCGTTGTCGCCCCCGACTTTTCTCCGATGGATGCCTTGCGGGCGTTGGCCATTTGCGGGAAGAAGAGACCGGGATGGAACGCCGTAAGCATCGTCACACAGATCAAGACTAGGCCACTGTCGAGGACCATGAAGGAGGCCTCGTCCTGCATGATATGGTTGCCCCATCCGCCAGCCATCTCGGCAACACTGTAGTAGTAGTATCGTCAGTCATGCCACTCCTTCTTTGATCATCTGGAGAGACAACTCAACTTACCGGTAGATGCAACGGGACATAACACAAGCATACGCCACCGCGGCAGCATAGATGAAGGACCTAAACCTCTTGTCATGGTACAGCGCGACATCGCCGGTACTGGTATCAGCCCCATGCGCCCACTTCCTCACACGGATCCAGTAATCCGCGCCGGTAATCCCAAACAACATCAACACGACAACCTGCAGCACGATACCCGCAATAATGGCCTGGTTTCCCCCGTCAAGCAGCTTCTTGTTCGTCTGGCCCGCCGCGGCAGCCAGGCCGCCGCCGATGGCTTGGATGATGAGGCAGGTGAGGTCGGCGGGGAGGAAGATGAGCGGGTACAGACGCGGATGGACGCGCGAGAGGGACGGGTTGAGGTGGGCGGAGACGTGTTTGAGGGTCAGGTAGATTCCGGCGCAGATGAAGGTCGGGCCGAGGATGATGGTGCAGATTTGCATCTGGAAGGCGTCTTTGTTCCAGGGGTTCTCGTGGAGGAGGGTGCGGCCGACGTAGCCTGGCAATGTGTTAGTTGTGAGACGATGAGTTTATTCACGATGGTTGGGGGTTTAGGGGAACGGAGGCATGGTTCATCCAGTTGTAAGTTGGGATGATGGTTCGTGTATGAGGAGACGCAAGGGCAGGGAACTCCATACCAACTGTCTCGAGGACACAACCGCCCGTCACAAAAGCCATGAACGTCCAGGTGCGCTTCCATGTTCCAATAGTTGCTGACACGAGCACAATCAAGCCAAAGGCGATGGCGAAGAAGATGTTGGCGCCGAAGTTGGGGTAGTAGGACAAGACTGTCATCTCGACGGGGCAAAGCTCCGAGACTTCGGTACACTCGCGGAAAGGCCGCCGTATCGTGGTGTCGTTGGCCGACATGGTGGCGATCGATTTGAATGTACTGCTGAACGGAATCGTCTGGCTCCGTCGTGGTTCGATGTGCTCGCCAAGTTCCGCAACGTAACCGAAGTCACGACAGCGATCGGTCGCAGGTCTGGTTCGATGGTATCCAAGTCCTCGTGTGTTCCCACGCTCTCGTTGTTGCCTCAAGTTTGAAATGTTAACCGTTTTATCAAGAATGCTTGCCAAGAAAAGAAGGACTTGAATCGAATAGAGGTGCAGATCCCAAACAAGAACGGCAGTGAAGAACGCAGGCGACGTCCGTCATCTACATATATGTATGCGAACCATGTGAACTTTGGTAGCAACATGAACAGCAGCCTTTGCCTTTTTAGTATATTCGTACGGACAGACAGAGCACCCATCTCAGGGTCATCAATCCATGACAACAACCCCCCTTCGGCCATCTCTGCCGTATGACTGGTCAGTCCATAGATCAGTAACACGAAAACCGAACAAAACGAGAGAAACGAGATGGGATTTACTGCAAAAAAAGAGCGACTAGGGGTGGCAGCAAACGGCGACGCTAAGGACAGAGCCAAGATCTTCGTCGTCTACCCGAGGACCCGCTGGCCCGCTCGAAATGGAAACCACTGCGCCTGCCGCTTACGGACTTTGTGTGTGTGTGTGTGTGTGATGGGTGGCTATTGGACGATAGTTGTCTCTCTGTTGGGCCCTGGGACGTCCTGTGACACTGTAAACAACTTGTATGCGACATTGAGATCTTATTGAAACTTCAAACTTGGAAGGTAGTTGTTGATAATGTGATTTGAGATTGTGATGCTGCTTCCCAGTCAAAAACGGTTGTCATTGACACCAAATTGAAGAGACAACAAACAGAGTCAAGAGGAGAGACACTTAAAGCAACAGACGGGGAAGACTCCGAGAGACGGCACAGAGACCAACGCCCGAATCTTAGCATCGTTCTAGCGCCTTGGCTCGGTTCCGCACGGAATCCACTCATCGGGGGGTTTCCTATCCGAATAACACGGGGCTAAGCGATGCTGACAGACGGCCACCCGAACACCTAACCGAGATATCGACAAGGGTCACTCGACCTTTTCCCGCTAGAAACACCGGCGGCTTAAGAAGCCTGGCATGCCTTGGACGATCCGAGAGGTGATACTTCGGTTCTCTCGGTTCGCTTGGACGATATGCCTGCCGCTCGCGTGGCATCTAGCAACACTAATGTCAACGTATTCGTATGCGACCCTGTACCCAGATAATCGGGGCAACCAATATCGCCGAAGCCTTGGAGGAATGCTGTCGTGCTAGTGTAGAAAGGCACCCGTTGCCCGTTTCGCCAATCTGTCGCCGGATTTTGCCCCAAAAGACTGATTGCTTTGCGACGAGATACCTACCATCAAGTCGGTAGTCTTCTATTTTTTCCGCGAACCTAGTGATGGGTTTTGACCAGTGACTACGAGCTTGACAACCATCACCTGGCAGTGACTTTGAGCAAAAGGGCAAGAATGTATGTTATTGAATTATATGCTTTGGGTTGACGAGCAGCCTCTGGCTACCGGTCGGTTCGCATGCGACCACATACTTGTCATTCGCTGTCGTCGTCGCTACTCTCCTCCTCTTCGTCGTCCTCCTCTTCATCCTCATCATCCTCTTCCTCTTCGTCCTCATCGTCTGTTTCTTCCTCCTCTTCGTCGTCATCCTCATCATCATCTTCTTCCTCCATGTGGAAGGCCGTCTGCTGCTCTTCTTTCTCTTCTTCAGCGAGCCAGTCATCGAGTGTCTTGACACCAACACCGCTTGCAGCACCAGCACCCACAACGGCACCGAGACCGTTGGTCCTCGTTGGTGCCGCTCTGACCGCGCTGTCGAGCATTTGACTTGCCGGCACGGTCTTGTCCTCACCATAGCTCGATGATGTTGATTCTGTCTCTCGTAGCCGCCTGTCGGGTTCTGAGCCCTCAGCTACCCATTCGGGGAGAGCATCATAACCACGCAACCCGTGAATGCCACCTCCACCGGCCAAGACAAGCGTTGATGAACCGAGCATGAATCCCTTGCGCGTCTCCGATGGGCTCGGAGCCTGGGGTGCGGGCTTTGGTGCCAACAACATCAACGTGGCTAGCTGGGGCACGGAAAGAAGAGCTCGGTACATCCGGGCCCGGTCGCGAAGGTCGTACGATGTGTCGTAGCGGACTAGCAATAGCGCATAGTCCCAGAGTTTCGCGACGGGGTGGTCGTCTTGGACGGGTACGGGCGCATCGTCTTCGCCCTTGTTCTCGTTTTGTCGGTTCACGTGATGCAAGTAGACCTTGGCCGCGAGCAGGAGGATCTGTCCTTTGGCTACCTCTGCCTCACTCGCAAAGTCCTTGAGAAGAATCCGCATCACGTCTGCCGCAATGTTGTCCTCGCCTTCGAGGCCTGAAAACTCGCCCACAAGCCATATGATAGTTGCCCTTGCTTGAGGGTCTGTTGCCGAGTCCAAGTTCTTCGCCAAACGAACAACTGTACCTACGTGACCCTGGGGGTCTTGCTGAATCAGGTGCCGAATCACTGTCAAAGATTCCGCCGCCAAGGTTCCATCAAGACTCGTGATCTGTCCAAGGAGCAAACGAAGACACCTGGGAGCCGCGGATGAGTCCGTCTGAGCGCACCGTCCAATGGCCCGCACCGCTTCTCTCACCAACGCTTTGTTTGTTGAGCCTGAGAAGTGCTCCAGTTCGTTCAAAATGAGGCTCTTGATGTGTGGGGGCGCGTGAGGGAAGATGAGTGTCAGAATCTCCAGTTTCAGCTCCCATACTTGTGCTGGGTCCGTAGCTCTGACAAGGAAGTGGCTGGCGTATTTGACAAAGTCGGTTGGCCTCGTCAGGCACACCGAGACAATGTTGTAGAGTGCCACTTGTTGGATATCCTGCGGTCCCCTGAGGAGCGCTACGAGTGGACCGATCGCTGTCTTGACGTATTCGGGCGTGCCAATATCAACGTAGCACCTCGTAACTGCGATGACCACGGCAGAATTGCGGCTCTGTAGCAGCGGTTTGATGCCGTTGAGCAGCAGGGCCAGGTCTGGATCCACGACGGCAACCTCTTGCTCCTCGCCTCCAGTCTGCGAAGTTTCTCCGTAAAAGTCACCCAAATTGGCCGTCCTTTCTTGAATCTTGACGCTGCGCGTCCGCCTGGGAAAGCATTTCCTTGCGTAATATGTCATCATTCTCAGCGTCGCTAGTTGACTCCACTCGTCCATGTCCACGACCTTCTTGACCAATGCACGGTACTGTGTATGTATGAGATCGATTCGATCGGGGCATATCTCGAGGAAGGCCGTAACTGCTGCACCAGCGACGAAGTACTGCTTGTCGCCAAGGAGCGCAGTCAGGTATTCGAGGAGTTGCGGTAGCTGCGTGGGGTCGAGGCGGTAGCATTTGGGGATGGAGAGGGCGGCAGCTCGGCGCACATAAGGGCTCATATCTGCCACACCCTTCTTGATTGCGAGAGATACGATCTGGCTAATGACTGGAACTCGGATGCCGGACATGGTCTTGAGAGCAAGGGCGCGGACTTGTGGGTTCGTATCGGAGAGGGATTTCTGGATCGTGTTGATGGAGAGCAGAGCCAGATCGGGTTCTTGTTCGGCATGGTGGATGAGGTAGATGTAGACGAGCTTCTTGATTTCGATGTTCGGTGATGCGACATTCTTGACAACGGAGGAGAAGAAGGGCAACGTCTTTTGGCCGCGGTACATCATCTATGCAGACGGGGGTCGATTAGCCAAGGATGGGGGAGCTGGCTAGAAAGAGCGCGGTGCCTACCGAGAGGACGCGGCGCAGGCCATCGAGCACCTCGCGCTCATTTCGACTGTCCAGTAGCTTCTTGATCTGTGTACGGTCGAGAGGGCGGCCGGTGCTGCGGGAGCTGCGCGTAGCTGAGGCGGCATCGAGAGTGAGCTCTCGGGCTGGGACGGGGTGGACGTTAGCGAGGTGACATGACGACAAGAGCGAGAGACGCACCGCTCTCGAGCAGACTGGATATCCGCGCAATGGACTCCATGGCGGGCGACAGTCCTGTCTGGCCTGAAGCAGTCGGACGGTTGTTGGTACTTGAAGCCTTGGAGATGTCGGGTGGTTGTCGCAGGGAGAGAAATGACGTCCCGTTGGGTGCTTGAGAGGCTGACTGAACTGGCCGTCGAGGGGCAGAGGCCGGGGCGGTTAAGGTACCTCCAGCTGCTGTATCCGCCCGGAGTAGCTGCCCCGCCAAATCGACTGGGCCCGACGATTCTTGCCCCACACTGCTCCCCTGCTCTCTCACTTGAGCCACTTCCACTTCACGTTGAACACAAATCTTAGTGTCTAGCAAGGGTCGAATGAGAAGTCAAGTCAGATTGTCACTTGATGATACAATCACGTAAGGTTTCAGGTCTGACTCTAACGAGGCTTGAGGAGAACACATCCAGGTTTTAATCGAATAAAGAGCACTCCTCTGGAATATCTAGAATAGCAACTTTTATCCTGCAATTTTGGAGCGAGACACATAATAATCCAGTTTTAACATAGAAACATTGACTTCCAATTTCCAGAACTCATTCTCTCAGTACTGAGATTGAAGCCATCAAGAAGGGGGATCGGTAGACGCGGGCAGAGGAACTAAGGGACTTTAAAGCGAGCCTGTTCCTTTAGGAAGCAAGATTAAGGAACCGGTCTCGGTTGGTAAGTCTCCTGATGAGTTATAACCATCGCCTCCACTGCTTTAGTCTATGAGACCTGTTTTTTTAAGTCCAGATATGATGAAACCTGAGCAGACACTCAGTAGTACATCAAAATATCTTCATAAGCGATGCTGGGCGGCGTAGGCCATGGGTCCAAGCCCTTAGCAAAGGATTTCCAAACGTGGGTTTAAACTTGGTACTATGTGTGAGATTCGACGAGGTAGACGTAAATTTGATCTCTGTTAATTCAAATTATGTAGCCAGCTCATGAACAACAAGCTCGGGTTATGTACTAAGCTCCCTGAGAGGGAACTAACTACATCGAAGGCTCTCCGGATGCATCTGTCTGTAACCTACATCGTGGCATGGCCGAGAGCATTCAATGGAAGCCTGAAATACGTGACATGAGAATTTAGTACATATCAGGTATGAAACGGAAGGGACAGAGATAAAGGGATCGTAGCAAGGCATGAGGGAAACAAAATAATTGACCTCCGAATCGATAAATCACCATCGTCTCTGAAAAATAGCAAGCTGCTACAATTCATCGAGCCACTCCCAACAGTGATTTGAAGTCACGAGTAGCTATACATAATCTTAATACACATTCATATAACAGATGTCGATGAAGTGGTCACTAATACAACCACCTAAGTCGGAACAGCATTGATAAATCGGCCCTCGCGCACCAAGGTTGCTAAAGTGGGTCCTCCGACCGGGCTCACTCACTGGCTTCAACTAGGTTCATTATTCGTTCATCACGCTTCAACATCCTCGGTGATGAGAGGGAATTATCAAAACAAAAGAACAACACTTTTGCGGATCTTAGGGTGACAACTAGAAAGAGACGATATTCTTTTGAAGTCCCTACCAATGAATCCAACTGTGCTCTCGCCAGCATCACCAGCAGAGCTGCTGCATTACTTCGTCACCTTTCAACCCTACCCAACGACACTCCTCATCTGCTATCAACGAGAAGACTTCATCTCATATCTCGTATCCGACGTCCGGAAAGACCTGTCCGAACAAGACTATGAGCAGCCTGAAGACCTGCTCCCGCAACCGCTCCTCTCGGCGACACTTCTCCAGACTGCAATTGCCCGTCACATCCGCGTCCTCTTCATTCCGAGCGTTACACATCTGCGCGCCTTCCTGTCCGCCTTTGGCACTTCAGACTCCTTGACGCCGCCTCCACCAAATGTCGCACTACCAGGCCCGAAGAGCCGGCCGCCCTTGCTCCTAGTGTACGGATTTCTCGACCTCCATCGCGATAGCAGCGAGTGGAGCGCGCAAGGCATGAGCAGCTCCGCCGCCGTGCTCATTGAGGCTGCTCGGCGCGCCGAAGTCAAGTTCAAACCCGTCATCGTTGAGCCCAAAGGTGCAGGAGGGCATAATGATTTCATTTCTTTGTTGCGGGATGATGCGCCGGTGTTGAGTGGGAGCTCAAGGAGGAGCGAGGGCGTCTGGATGGGGAGAACCGTCGAGGTGAGGAAAGTCTTGGGCCGGTGGTTCCGTTTCCAGACTGGTCGGTGGGATATCACTTAGTGTTCAGCTTGTACGGGGACTGATTCGAGGCAATGAGATGAGTCGAAAGAAATCGAAAGCTTCATTATATCGATACGTTGGCCATGGCCATGGACTGTCCTCTCTCCTGACATCTAAGCAGAATTCATCCCCGCCTCAAACGCCAAACCCGTGGTATCCTTATAACTCATTTCATCGTAGCAAAGTGACAGATAACCGACCAGAAACAACGATAATCTAAAGAGCCTGCTCCATCTCGGTAATGTATAGCTTGATGTGAGAGTCCATCTTGAGGAACTCGTCGTAAGCACTGTGAATCTCGTTTTCAATGTTCTCCTTGAGATCCAGCATCTGTCTTCTGGTTAGCAGCTCGTTCCTTGCCGGAAAATCAGGGGAAAGTGTACCTTTTTCTCAGTCTGCTCGATGCGAACACGACGCCTCTCGATATCCTTGCCCTTGTCCGTCCTTTCCTCGGTGAGCTTGCGGTGAACAGCACGAAGCTCTTCCATCTTCTCCTTGGCGTCCTGGGCCTTGGAAGAACTCTGCTCTCGGAGCTTCTCAGTACGCTCGTTCCACTTGAGCAATTGTCGCTGCAGCAAGGCCTCGGTACGCTCGACTTCTCGCACGTTGTTACCGCGCTCCGATAGTGCGTCACGTTGCTTGACATTCTTTAGGTTCTCATCCTCCTCCTTGGCCAATTCAGTGCCGATTTCGTCCAGCACCTTGATACATGATGCTACATCTGTCGAGACCACTGAGAAGGAATCGGCTGATGTCTGGAGTGCGCGAGAGCGGCGATCGAGGGCCTCGATATGCGACTTTTCGCTGTTGAGCGCGTTGCTCAGCTCTGTCAGGGTCGCCTGCAGTGCCGAAGGACTCTGCATAACGTAGGGCCGAAGTTTCGCGCTATCTTGTTTTGCGGTAAGCTTCTGTGCCGTCCTCTCCTCCAGAGCTGTCGTAAGCTCAGTCTTCTTGACCTTTGCGTCTTCGAGACGAGCGGCCACACGCTCCTGATTACGCCGCAGCTCTAGCAGTCGCTGCTTGAGCTCCTCGTTGCGGGTCGTCTTCTCGCGTACCTGCGCCTCCATTGCTTTGCGGTTGCGCTTCATGTCAACGAGACGCGATTCCATATCCTGGTTCTCCGAATACAGGCTCTCGATGCGTGATTTCGTCGTCTCTGCCTTGTTGAAGTGCTCGTCAATGACGCTTGTCTGGGATTCGCGGAAGCGCACAAAGTTGATCAGGTAGCTAAAGATTTTGACAAGGCGGTCATGTGTGGGCTTGTAGAGGTCGTTGAAGCTGAAGTCCTGGATGCCGCACTCTGCAAGAAGACCGCGCAGAGAAACATAGAAGCCCATCAAGTTGCGGGTGTCGGGGGGCACGATGTCGGAGTATTCGCCGCAAATATCCTCAGCTGCAGCACGCATGGCGGGCTCGACGGTCTCGCGGGTCGCATTGAGGAGCAACTCGGCAAACCATTCGAAAATCATCTGCACCTGCAATGGGTTCGGCTTCTGGAGATCGGCGACGTTGAAGGGGATTCCGATGTCTGTTATGCAGCCGACAATCTCCTTGTCCGGCAGGCGCATGAACGCGTCGGCTTCATCTTCTTTCTTTCGGGTATTGCGCGACTGTGTCTGTGTCGCGGGGATGATGCTCATTCGCGGATTGTACGACATCTTGGTGGTTAGAATGAGCTCCTTGGAGCGGTGGGCGGTAGTGGCTGGTCGGGCTTGAATGCGATGCGACGGGACGAATGTCAACCCAGTTAGGTGTGTCTGTAGATATTGGGCGTGGTGTTGTCGCGGTTTGGCATCAAAAGGTTGCCGTAAACAGCTTATCGGCCTTGTTGCTCCGACAACCCGCGCCTTATCGATAAAGGTCTGCACCAGTAGGCCTGGCCAGAGTCACATGATCAACCACCACGTGCTTCATGTTGTCCGACTTATTGCTGGTGTAGCCCGTGCTGATGTATCCGTATGCCAACGACTTCATCCACCGTGCCACCTCACCCGACCTGATCAGAAGTGCTGCACTTGACACAAGTGTTGCAAATGGAAGACGAAGGGGAGAGAGAGGCTGTGTAATGTGTAGCCGTTACTTGTTACACCGATGCGTATTGACGCTGTGTACTCCGTACATTCAATGGAAAATTAGATACGTAGATATCTGCAAGTTGCAGGAAGGCGAGAAGGGAGGGGGCTTTTCTATGCCTGTGTACCTACAAGGTACCCCTCGGTAGTGGTCCCCACCACCGAGTAAGTGCGTCCCTTACTTACTCGGGGAAAAAACATATATCGGTGGTTTTATCTATGAACACGGCTATTTTAACTGTATCGTTTAGCTATTTTAACTGTACGCTATTATTAAAAAATTCTATTAACCGCTATAGCCCGTCTGAAGTACTAGCAAGTAGTAAATGATTTTCTCTACTCGGCCTAATTAATATATATTATTAATTAAGCTTAACAGATTCACTTAAAATATTTACTAAAATTCTAAAACTTATACTTAATTAGTATCCTAAAACTAGTACTCTATAATATAAGAAGTATATATTAATATCTTAATGAATATAAGGGCTACAGATGTTTCATAAATATATCTAGACTTGTTGATTTTCCACAATTTTAATGATATATTTATAATTTATAAATACAGGTATCATAGGAGTTACGTGCTTAAGAAGTTACATGATAATAAGAGGCTTAACTGAAGTACGTATCTACTGAGATACAACGCTTTGTACGCACGTACAGCCCGAACGTAAATACGCTTTACATATACATGTTAAAGCGCCGACAGGCACATATGTCGTATAAACTTAATGCTCGGACTTAAGCATTACATGTGATTACATATGATTACATGTGATATTTATATTATATATATACTACACTTTCTCACCATATCATAGAATAATCATCAATACAATCGATTCTTTGATTATCCCAACTCGTACCTCAACTTATTTACCTTTTCTCTTTTTGCCTACCTCTAACCTCTTAGTAAATATATCGTTATTTATTTTTATTTATCGTTATCATTTATTTTAGTGGTGCTTTGTTAGTCATAGATAAAACCATAGTCACAGGTCTTTTCCCCTAGTAAGTAAGGAACGCACTTTCGAGGTAAGTCGTCCCCACCCCGAGGGGTACCTTGAACTGGGTTTGGCAGGTGCCTTCCAATAGCGTTCATGCCTTGCATCCTCAGTGGCACCCAGAAGCCCAACGCGACTTTCCACATTTTGGACTCTGAGGTTCTCTGCCGACTCGCCAACGTCGCAGGACAATTTCAACTTTTCCTACTACTCGGAACTCCAGGAAACCTTGTCACACAGCTTCGCATGGAGACCAGGTCGCACACCACTTTCATCCTGCCTCAAACTCAATCAAGACGCCGGGTCAGACTCGAGGAAGGACTGTCAGACAACGACCGCGGTGGTGAATTCCGCATGCCATGGCCTACAGGTTACAAAGCACTACTGCCAGGCCATTACGTACAAGATGAGAGATTCGGAGAGAACACCAAAACGGACATTGGATATGGACAATGGACCAATGGCCCAAGAGGAGAGCCTAGAACCGTCCTCATCCCCTGCGCTTTAAAGCAGATGACCTCGCCTGCGTTCTCAGAGACAGTAGAGGCCAATTGGACGGACCAGAACGGCAAAAAACTGCCAATCCCTCACCAAAAGGTCCAAAGATGAGCAGATGAACACACCCTCGCAGTTCGCGCCAGCCGAGATCTGCATTGAACCCCAGCCAGTTCCCGCCGTTCTCCCACATGGCATCCAGGTATTTCCGGGTTTCTCTCCGAAAGCTTCGTCCAGACAAAGTACGGACTCTGACCTTCATTTCCGCCTTGCCAAATGGACTCTATCCGGAATACTCTATGGACCAAAAGGGAGCCATCTCATTTCGCAAAGAGGCCTGTTGCCGTCTACCCATCGATATCGTTTCTGAAACGCCCCTCGCCGTGGGCTGTCATTGGCTGGAAACAACAGACTCCCTTTGACAGAGGCTCCGAGCGTGAAACAGTTTGGATTTACTTTTCGGGAGGTCCCAGTCTAGCGTGACCGCCAGGCGCCAGGGGGGATGTCATCAGATGAAAAGGGGTTTATTTTCACAAACGATTATTGGTGCGAATCTGCCCTGACCAGGACGCCCAGCCAGCCTCCAGGTGAACAGCTACTCGAATATCGAGCACCTCAAATCTGCAATGACGGACGGAAAGACAACGCTGAAGCTCTCTTGTATATCCGTACTCCGTATGAGCATCTGCGAACAGTGCCTAATCCTCAAAACCAAGCCTATCTATATGGGCTGCGACCATTCATCGTGGAAATGCTTCGGGTCACTAGTGAGGGACTATATTCGTTGAACAATGGCGATCCATTCGTCAAGGTCGACGAGAGAGAGCTAGTTTAAACACCTATCCCGCCCTCGAGGCCTCGACCGGTGACATCGAAAGGGTATTCCGCCCTCCTTCCACAAGTCCATCGCAGCATCCAAGGGCGAGAACAATCAGGGTCCATTGGCATATGCTAGGCTCTAGCTGGTCCTATCTACGAATGAAGGCACACAATGCCGAGCCAGCATGACCGGCATGTTATGTTATCCTGCCCAACGCATTGGATCGATAAGAGCATTGCAGAAGCTGAAATCGAGCAATTTCTACTGTCAAAATCGGAAGACGGATTATGATTATCGAACCCCGTGAATGGACAGCAAGCTCGTACGAAACCTTGTCACCAACGACTATGCCGCAGGCTCTGCATTGCTGTGCCTGCAGCAATTACATTATCTGGGGGGGGGGGGGGGGGGCTTGCACTACGTGTCGAGTCTGACAGGTACGAAGGAAATAACACGGCAGACGCCTGCAGCACGCCGGAACGCTCAGAAGAAACGAGGACGGATTGACATGTGTTTTGGCGTCTCTCGCGCAACCGTCTGAAGGATACTCAACCGCTGCTTGAAAGTATCACCACATCACGCGCACCTGAGAACTACGATGAGCCA